GAGAGGTCATCTCATGCACTCATTGTCCGCCCGAGTGTAGTGAAACTAATGGATGGTATGAAAGACGAATGATAATTAAAGAGGGTGTAGTTGACACATGCAAAGAATGGCTATTGAATGTTCTTGCGGGACACAAGCACTAGTAGAAAAATGACCTTTAGTCCCGATTCGTAAGCACCTTTAGTCCCGTTTCTATAACCGGTGGGGACTAAAGATCCCCCCCTTTAGTCCCGGTTCAACATGACCCGGGACCAAAGGCCCACCACGTGGAATGAGTTCGCGTCGGGGGTTGGGGGACCTTTAGTCCCGGTTGGTAATGTTTTTTTTATAAAAAAACTTTGATTTTTTTTTAAAAATTGATTTTTTTCTTCCGATTTTCGAAATTTTGAATTAGTTGACGATTTAATTTCTAATCGCCCCTCATCATTTCTCAAGTGTGGAGCACTCATTCCAAATTGTCTAACTTCCCGTCCGGTAACCCATCCTCTCACGACTCCATCCTGAGCACGCTTAACTTCCGAGTTCTATTCCCCCTAGTTTCCAAGTCTGTATTTGTTGTTTACCTGACAATAGTAAGTTGTTAATCCTATTAACCCTTAGGAGTTTAGCTTGAGCATGAAGTCACATGTTTCACCATTTGAGTTTGAAACTATTATTCTAAAAAACAATAATTATTTAGTAACACTAATATTTGTTGAATAAGTAGTTTGACCACAGTTTGACCAAAATTCAAAAAAACTAAAATTTGAGCATAACTTTTTTTACTTTAAGAATTTGAGGATTCTAAAAATTTGCAAAACAATCTATGGGGGTCGAAATCGGATGCAGATTTTCGTGCTGAACATTTTAATATATTATGTGTTTTTTATACAAACCGGGACTATAGGTTGACTCTTTAGTCCCGGTTTGTGCACAAATTGAGACTAAAGGGGCTTGTGGGGCCCCGGCCTGACGCCAGCCTGCCACCATCCCTTTAGTCTCGGTTTGTGACACAAACCGGGACTACTGGGCACAAATGAAACGGGACTAATGCATAGCTGTTTGAACCGGGACTAATGATCACATTAGTGCTGGTTCATTCACAAACCGGGACTAATAAGCTCAACATTAGGTCATTTTTCTACTAGTGAGCAGCCAAGTGTGGTATATGTTAATGATCCGAATGTGTCGAATCTGGAGTTTGCGCAACAACGTAGAGCATGGAAAGACTATCCCGCCAATGGAAGTCTCAAAAGATTCCTATGTAGCGACGTGAGTCCCTTGTAGCTTATCCGACAACACAACCTAGAAGAAATAATGAATGGAAACATTTCCGCTGACGAGCTTGAGGTCATGCCACCTCTTGCATCGTTCATGGTCGGTGCCTCATGGTCGCGTCCACCGGCTATACGTGTGGCCCTTGGCGTCTCCTTCAAAGCTACGGATGACACCAAGAACATGTATGATTCTTTCGACTTCAGATGGAAGTATTCTTCTCCACCTGCAGCTACTTGTTCCATTGTATGGATTCCATAGATAAGAAAATGCCCGCTATCATGCAGAATGGTGCTCGTGTTGCAATGGTCAGACCCTTCGGTGACCTTTTGGAATCCTTATAGAACTCTTCGTATCAGTCATAATATTCTTAGAACCTTTATCTATCTCATTGAGCTTGTTGTCCTGGAAATACCAGAACATGGTCTTTCTCTTATTACCTCTAGGAGACCCTTTTTGAACACTTCATGTGCTTATATATATAGCAAAATGAGACAATGCCCTCAAACATGGAAAGGAAAAGAAAATGGAATTTCCATTTCCCAAAATTTAAAAACAAGGCATAAGTCAAGGCGTGCTCGCAAGCAAAAAAAAGACGATAGCTCAGCTTGCTGCCATTTACTTCGGTAATCCAGAAGGATGGGCTGGAAAGGAGCTTGATTGGGAGGTG